TTAGAAAGTGGGCCAGCATAAGCAGAATTAACACCGACCATACAGTACAAGCTGGGATGTTGCTTGTTGTGGCGTGTCCCTCATTTGTCTAGTGAGTGGAGGTGCTTTTGCTAAAGACAAGGAGACAGCTACACACTGACATGCTTTGAACGCCTTAGCATTAATGCAAGGAAAAGCTTCTAGAACCAGCAAATGCTAGAAACCCCAGAAATAATGCATTAGAAATTAAATTGCATTTCAAAAGGCAAGCTAACAAGCCCGAGCAGCCTGCGTTAGGCAGGTCAGGCGAAATAAAACCAGCCTTTCTGGCCTCGAAGGCTGCGCGCGAACCATCTCCAGCAAATGCCACATCAGATTAAGAACATTCGGTTTGTGTTCTCCCCCCTCAATTTCATCCCCTTCCTCCAACTATTATCCTTTTGAAGGTAATGAATGACTCTCCCTTTCAGCTTATTCATACCACCTCCGAAAAACCCTAACCTGTTCTGTTCCCCTCTAATGCATCTCAATAGCCTGGTCATTTCTACTTAAGACTGCATTTATGTATCACAGCTCAAACCTGCCAGCCTTCCGAATCTCCCTGCTTGCATGAGGACCCCCGATCTCAGCTCGGTGGCACGGCCAAGTGGGAAACTTCGTGTTCGCTGTGCTTACGCTAACCCAGTTCATTTTAAGTGAAGTTGGGTGGGAGGGGGGGTCACAGAAGTTGGTCCATCAGCGAACTTGATGGACTAATAGTGGGTCAATAACATGGGATGTAAAGGGGAGAAGTGAGTCATCAAGAGCGACAACCAGAACAGGATAAAAGCTGTAAAATCCATCAGTTCCTTGGCCCTTGGCTGTTCTTCACTGAACTTGTCTCACTGCATGAAACAGCCCAACACAGAGCTACACGTAAAAATTAAGACGAAGTCGCCCTGTGGAAGCGCTGGAGCTCGGCGATGCCTCGTTTCAGATCATTCCTCACCGCAGCGGTGCCCCTGCAGCTTCCCCAAACCCATCGCCCCGTGGCACAGCACTTCTAACTTCTCGCATCTCTGCTCCTTACTGCCGGTTGCAACTTCACTGCAACGTAAAAGGAATTTCACAAGGGCACCGCTTGGATGCGAAATACAAATAGACTGAAAATAATAAATCTGTGGTATCCCTTGCCCACTCCTAAATCAGCCCACCACTTCATCTCTGTACTTCTTGAACAGATGGGACCTTCTGGCAGTCTTTAAACCACTCAACAGCACTTTCCTCCATAACAAAGCAAACTAATTACTAGAGTGAGATGCTATTTTCCATCAATTTTTCTGCTATTTTTAAGGAATCAGCCAGCTTGGTGAGCTGATGTCTGATTAAGGATTTGCAGTGAAGCTATTTTGCCCTCAGAAGCTTAACGCAGCAGAATTAAATGCACGTCGGCATGAAGGTACAGAACATGCTAAATGAACTTCAGAAGGATTTTGCTCACCAAATACTTCTCTTGCTCCATTTAGGCAACTATAGATGTGGACAGCCTGTCAATCACAGATGCAAAAATAATCACCTCTTAGCACTGGCTTCGCACGTTGGATCCCTAAACGCAGCACAGCAAAGGCTGCTCTACGGACCAGCTCTACTAGGCAAATGCTCCGTTTTACAAGAGTGTTTTTCAAATCCCCTAAAAGCTTCCAAGCCAATTTTTTTCCAACTTAAGGATAATTTTTTCTAAGGCAACAATTTTCTTGTTGATCCTGTAGGTGTTTTGTTCAAGCTAAGCATTTGCTTGCTATGCTGTGTATGTGTTTTTCCCAAGAATCTACAAGCATTCACTTCATGCCTTTACCAAGTTCAAGATACCTGGAAATCAATGTCAAAATTACAAACTTTCCAGATTCTTCAGGAAAGCTTCTTCTAAAAATGGCTGCAGAGAACTACAGGACTTAGATTAATTAGATAACAAGACTTAAAAAAGCTGGAGTTAGAGCAATACCAGTTCAGACACTTGGATGAGTCCCAGATATCCAGGGGAAAAAATTGAAAAAAATTGTGATACGCAGCACCTCCAAACGCGCAAAAAGCTGCAGAGAAAAGCCAATGGATTTTGTAATAACCAAGCAAATTTAGTGGCAGATTTGTGATCCAGTGGGTATTTGTTGAGTAGGAAATAAACCAAAGCAGCTAGTTCCGCGTTGCTTAGCTGCAGACTGTAATATGAATAGTTTCCCTGCAGGTAAATCACTTTCTATTACTTCTAAGTACCCCAGGAAAAATACTAATTGAAAACACGGTTCTAATACTGTCCAGCTGGAAAACATTAGCTTAGGATGGAACTAGCTTGACACTGGCTGCCAATGGGCTATGCACAATGGAAAAGGAAATTAATCTCTTGCAGACAAGACATCCCATTTTCCACTTCTCCTTTGTAACCCTCAAATAAACTCGTTATTAACCAAAGGCTTTGATTCACATGGGGAAAGAAAAAAATCAATGCATTTATGGTAACACAAGTCTGGATTTCTTGCATTAAAATGAAGGCTCTCAAATTTTGACACAGCAAATGGCAAAGTGACTGGAGAATGGCTTACGGTCCGACAACATAGCAACTCTTTTCTTGGCTAATAATTAAAGAACAGACAAAATACAAAGAAAAATGCAGTTTTACAATTCCGTATTGGCCCAGCCCATCTTCCTGCAGCTCCCTCCTGCTGAGAGCTTTTTTCCCATGCAGGTGCAAAACGGATGAGGAAAAAACTGAAGCTGACCCCACAGATACTGAGACTGCTTTTCCACTTCTATTTATATTCATTTATATGCAGCATCCAGCAGGCCGGACTATCTCAGAAGGGTCATTTCCCAAATTGCTCGCAACCCACAAGCTTCCTGAGCCTCCTCTCCCGTCCATGTGATTTCAACTTTTCTGAAACACTCCAGACTTTTATGCATACTTTTATCCACTATCCAAATTCTCCAAGATGATAAAAAAATATATAAACCCCCTCAAAATTTAGCGACTCTTCTCGTCATGGAAAAGCATCCTTGTTCTGCACCCAGATCTTCCAGCAGATGAAGTTACCCGCTGGCACAACAGTCTATGTCCATGTTCCCTGCTTGGCTTCAGGTCACTGTACAAGGTTTGCACCATTTGCCTGAATCACACAGTCTCATTTATGCTTGAAGTTGATTAAGAAACATTTGTATGAGTTATCAGCACAGGGGACAATTAGCAGTCGGTAAGAATTTCTGGGTCTAAAAAAGGACATCTGTCCGCAGTCTTATTTATTATGCTTAAAACCGGCTTCTCCATCCGTTCTTGAGCAACCCAAGGAGGTCACACAAGTGAGACATGGAAGATGACGGCAGACACGGCAAGGCAAGGAAACTTAGCTGCGAGTGAGAAAAAGATGAAATCCTGTCTGTGGTGCTGTCTATGGAAGCACTTCAAAAGAGAAGAGTTCAACATTCCTATAATCAAAGAAGAGACGGAGAAGAAAACAAAAAGCAGAGCGGTATGGAGGAGAAAGCGAACAACAAAGCCCAAATGAAGAAGGAAAAAGCACTGCCGGCTGAACAAGAGGAAAAATGACACACTAATCAGAACATAAGAGATCCAAAGTTTACTAACTTCTCTGTAGTTTTTGAGTGCAGACAAACTTCTCAGAGAGATCAAAAAGTTCAGGACAGCTTTGTTCTGGCCTGATCCTACAGGAGAGGTGCTTTTAGTTAGCTTATTTCCAGAAAATGGAAAAAGGGGAAGGGAAATGCCCCCCAGACAGACAGACTGCAACACAAAACTATCAGCAGCCAGGCTACAGCCTCACAAATCTGCCTCCAGCCCAATGGGAACATCAACACACATCCCATGACTTCTTCGATGAAGCAACAAAAAAGCCAAAACAAAACAACAAAAAAAAAAGGCTCATTCTAATTTGTTGAGCGACAATCCAATTTTGCAAGCATGTATTTCAAAGGCACCAAGAACACGGTAAATAGCCAGAACAAATAATGGAACTAAGACAATATATTGAAAAGCTGCTTCTATGCAGTGTCCACCCAGAAAATGCTGCAGGACACCAATCAGGTGGAAAAAGTGTTACAACTTGCTGTGAAAGACTATATTCACACATAAATAAGGAAAAGCTAAAGCTATACAGGCAACCTGAATTGTGGCATTTCCTGATACTAAGGCCAAGACTCCCCAAACGGAAGTTCTGGCGTTAGATTGTTTTCATGTGCTTTACAATAATTAAAATACACATGTTTTTTATAGAAAAGCATAACTTACTTTCTTGTCACAGTAACAGAAGGTGAGAAACTTTGTGCCTGGACTAATGAGGAAGACTTCCAAAAAACTGAAGTCTAAACAAAACAAAACAGCTACCTTAGGAAACAAAAATAGTCAGTGTTCTCGGGTTCTTAATTTTTTCTTTTTGTATACAGGTCTGCTAGCCAAAGCATCAACATCAAAAAGATCCTTTAATTCATTAGTCTCCTTTTAAATGTTTTTCCTAAAAATACAACATGTTGTGTCTAAGAACACGCCAGCCTGGTGTAAGACAATAATTTCTCCACACTCCTATTTGCGCATCACAAGACGTATTTGAAAATATATTTATAATCAGAAATATGTTAACACTATTACAGTACAGAGACACGATTATATTCCTGTTTGCTTTGCGATATCACAGAAAAATGGTTTCTATTTGCAGCACCTATAGCCATTTCTAGCCAAATGTTCTACTGTGTAAAGCCGCATTCTTCTCTATTTACAACGCATAAAAACTAACAAGGCAAACACAAAATCTCATACCCTACACACAGTATAACTTTTATCTAAACCAGCCCAAAAGTTGTAAATGCATACCTGAAGGGATAAAAGCAAATGAAAACGGTATCTGTTGGCCATCCCGGACTTACGGTTTCTTGCAGGTATATAACAAATAAAGAATTGGGGATTATTGCGTTAACCACAGTTTAAAACAAGCATCCCTGATTAATTGCGGTAAGGATCATCCTGAAGCACCAGCTCTCACCTTTATGCTTCCCCCAATGAGATCTGGCGGCTCTTCGTCTGTTTCTAAGGCAACGTTGATGGAGGCGAAGGGGCGACTTGCCATCTGTTGCATCTCACGGAGTAGTTGCTAATTTAATAAACAGAAAAATATTATCATCATATTGTTCCAACACAAAGATGAAAAAAACATGCATCTGAGAGGTTTTACCCAATACAAAGGGATATCAATGAATATGGAAAAATAACCTCCTGGTGTTTTAACGGGCTTAAGAGTACAGACAGATTATTCTAAATATTCACGCTACTACAATTTAACGAGTTATTGCAAGTAAAGCTACATGCCCAGTCTTAGCCTGACTCGTTTGTGAGGGAAAACACATGTGCTTAAGTCTCCATAAAGCAGTTATTTACTTTTTAAGCTGTGTTACCCTAGTTGTTTGTCATCACCTGTCCAGGGCATGACAGGACTCCGTAGGATTTGTGGGAACCGTTTTAAAATTAAACTAGCAGCAGTACATAACTACTGTAAGAAAGAATTAGATATTTTTTTATAACAGCACTAGCAAAATGCTGTCAGGCACCTATTGAATAATCATCTTTTTTTATTGTTTGTTTCTTTTTTGAATGCAGCAAATGTATCAAATGGCAAGCATGTCCTTGCTGCAATATGTTTTATTAAAATAGAAAACCTTTTCCTGGGTAAACCTCTGCAAGCCTTCATGACACAAGACATCTCTTTATTGTCCTCTTAAGCGCTTTTAAGCATTACGATGCAGCTCCCTTTTTTTTAACACAAAAAAAGACACTTCCTATACGGCTGGGCTGGAAAGAGCATTTCAATTTTAGCTGAGCTACGGACACGCTTCTTTTTGGCTTCAGCAGCTAATCTCTAATACTAACAGCAAGCTACAAAACCTATATGTGGATGCAGAAGCCGTAACCCTAATTCCCAGAAGCAATGGGTCTGATGTGACTCGGTGCCCCTATTTAATAAGGGAAGAGGCACACACTTTGTAAAGCATGTAGAAAACCAGCAGTCTTACCCTTAAGTGCAGCAACTGCCTAAAACCACTTGTTGTATGCAGCTTTACACATTTAGCGTTACTACTTAGCTACAGCAATACTAGTTACACTCTTATTTTACGTAAGATTGAGCCACTACCAAATGCCCTCTATACTTCCCACCATCACCACCCACATTTCCCCATTAAGTTTGGGCAATTTGACACTCCAAGCCCTAACTGATCATTTACAGCACTCAAAAAGTGCTAAAGAAAACAGCACAAAATGCAGCGTGCCCCAAATAACTCCCATCTAGCACAGCAGAAGAGGACACAGCACACAGGCAAAAGGAAGATGCTGCTATCCAACGTGCAACTCGTTTGGACAACGCTAATTACATCAGCATTTTCTTGAACTCATAAACCTTCTCTGGTCTTTTCTTTGCCAAGTTATCTTTTAGTTTGGGGTTTTTTTTTTTGCGTAGAAAACTGGAAGATTGTCTCTGTGAGCTTGGGGTTCAGGCAAGGAGGCACGATGGGATCAATGCAACCAATCTTGGGGGGGTATATCAGCCTCTATGGCTCTCAGTTGAATAAAAATCATGTAAAATTTCACTGCCGTAAAAGGCAAGTGGTAAAGTTTTGCTTACTCTCTGAAAGGGTGGGGGGGAAGCATTTTCGAGCAGATTGTAGATAGTCACAAAGCAAAAAACCCCAATGAATTCATACCAATGGAGCTGTACTAAGCATTTGCAAGCAAACTTGTGTCTAACTCACACTTGGGTGAAAGAATGCGAGGAGTTTTCGAATATTTAAAGCACACCAGCAGATTGCAGACTAAAGCAAGTGTGAAACAGATTGCTGGGTTGTTGTTCCTGCAATTGTCCCCTTCAGCTATCATAAAGCGCTTTGTTTAATGGCTATAAAATCAAAGAACAAGCTGTCCTGATGAAGACGTCCAAGAGACTTACGAACTAAAAGCTATTAGCTGTTTGAAGGAAGTTTAGTTTACTAAAGAAAATATGCAGTTTGGCAACATGACTCCTATTGAAGTCAATAGTAGCTTCAAGAAATAAAACCCCGAGCAGCGTTGCAAAGGCAGAGATGTGCTACAACATGAGCGGTGGGAAAAGGAATGCTGACAGCAGCGTTATTGTCTTCGTTTTCTGAACTGGCCAAGAAAAGCCATCGCCTTCAGGGTTGTCCCAAAGCCAGCTGACTCTCAGCATAACAGTGGCCAAACCAGGTAAAACCAAAGGTCCAACCTGCCACCAAAGCAGCAAATGCCTAAGGGAGAACGTCCTTTTCCTAACATCAGTTTCTGGTGTAGCACAAGTCATGTTACAAATTCCACCCCCATCCCCCCGCAAAATTAAGAATAAATTTGAGAAATAATTGTTCTGTAACCAGAATGTCACTCTTTTCCCCAGGGCATGCACTGTGCCTGTTTAATCTGTGCACGTATATATCCTTCAATATTTGTTTGGTGTGTCAAAATTTTAATTAAAAGATTTTATTATGTTGTAAGGGAGAAATCGTGGCATTTCCCTAGCCAAGATGTTGAGCATGTCATTAGAAATCAGCAGCAGTTAACATCAAGATACCCCAGAACCAGGCTTACCCTCATTGCTAATGATTGGCTTTGTGAGATTTAAAATAATGAACCTCAATACTCTTTCAAGCAAACCGTTGGTTTCTAGATCACACAATTAATAGGACAACCTGGGAATACTTTAAATCACTTAGGTCTGAAGAGGATTTTAAGGGCAAAATGTTTGACAGGCTTACAATAAAAACACATCAAAAAGCGTGTATTGGAACACACCACTGGCCTTTAATATTTAAGTAACAGCAAGCTGTGAGAACCTGCACAACTTTAATTTGCATTGATTTTTGGTGGGGATTTTTTTCCCCACTATCGGTAGAAAAACTCCATCCAAGAAAACCGCAAGTTGAAACAACTGCAGAATGGGAAGTGTTGAAACAACGCCTGAAAGTTTTGGTGTCAACCAGACGCTAAGAGAACCTGAAAATAAACAAACTCAACAGTCTACAGTGGAAGAGAAAAAGAGCAAGGAGGTGGGAAGACCACCGAGGTTGCTCATCTCCTAGTGCCCAGGACTAGAGGTGCAGATCCAGGAGCAAACGGTGCAGAAATGCAGCGTTTCATCCCAGTGATTCTTGAAATTCATACACGTTGAGTAATGGATAATCCAAAATGAATAGTGTGTTACTGATGGGAGACAAACCGCCAGAGGAACTGAGGAAAACCTTTTCATGCAGTAGCACAAGCTCTCACACAAAAGAAAAACAGCTATTCAGGTTACCAGGTTAATTGACTAATATAACCTATGCTGTGTTTTCTGACAAGAAAAGGCTGAACATTTTATTCACGATAATAAAGCAGTCACCAGTCTCTGTATAACCATCCTGCTACCATCCATCTCGGCAACTGCCCCCTGCAGAGTCTTTATGAGCACGGGGCTACGGTACCTTTCGGGATGGGGCTCTGATATTTTCAGCCATGAAAGGATGGTGATTTTTCCAGAAGAAAGCCACGCGTTTTGGATTTTATTTGCTCCTTATAAAAAAGGGCTTTAAAAAAAAAAGCTAAGCAAAACAGCTACCTAGAATTTGCAATGAACTCAAGTTTTTACACGAGTATTTCACCTCAGTTTTCAACAGAGATGAGAAGGAAAAAAGTAGAAAAGTCAAAAAACCATGGGTGTGCTAAGGGAACAACGGGCACGGATGAGCTTTCATTTTAAGGTAGAGTAAAAGCAAAGCAAGCAGGACCCCACAAGAAAGGGAGCAAAGTTATTTCCAGCAGACCAGACCTATTCAGGCAGGGAATCTGCAGGAACATCTGGTACCATTACACCAGTCTATGGTCAAAGGAGGTAAACTTTGACAAGGGGAACCAGAAAAGAGCAATAGTCTTCTCAACGGGTTATTTTTCCAGGAAATCTGTAGATCTAATCCCTCAAGGTATTTCTGAAATGCAGATCTTTCTGGACCCATAGGCTGTTGTTTTTAGAAGTATAGCTACTCTGGGCATCCTCAGGAGATAACATTTCAGCTTTAGAGGAACTTTTCCTGAAGATATTTCAATAGAGCAAGCTCCACATTCCTTTATTTGATGAGACAAGTACGATTAAAGGTCATCCTTTGAGGATTCGTATTACAACCTTCGAGGCTGCAATGAATTTGAGATGGTGCTCCAAAGCGAAGACTATGATGAACCTCCTGCTGAACTGGGTCTCTGCTGCTGTATTTCTGTACCACCACGGAAAAAAATCAAGCTTCACTCTGTTATGAACAAGAAAATCACCAGCTGCGTTCTCCATGCTGTCCATAGCCAACTTTAAAAACCAGGAGACTCTGAAATCAGCTATGTGTTTTGAACCACCACCCTGTCTGCATTGCAAAGATAAACTGGTCCAGTGGGCCAAAAGCCAGAGACCTCACAAACAACTGAGAGTCCTATGAGAGTAACAGCTCCAGTGTCACGGAAAGAGAAGAAAGATAAAGAAGATAAGGAAACAAACCAATTTGTACCCTTGTTGTTTAAGACTTTTAGAAAAAAACAAAGATTTTGGGGCAGAACAGAATATTTGGGGTTTTCCTGTTTCAAGCCGAAACGTGGAGCTCTACCATGCAGAGCATAAAGATGTTTGTCTCCAATGTGGATTCAGCAACTCCGGTTGCTGTTCATCCCCCTGAACCAAAGCTAAACAAACAGAACAAAGTTGTCTCCTCCTTCCTGACCTGTCTTTTAAACAGCATTAATTCTGCAAAATTATTCAAGTCTGTCAGTCCTCTTACATGTTCCCTCCAAGGCTCTGCACATCTAGAACACAAAACCCAATCAAATATCTAAAGGTCCCGCTGCATGCACTGAGCAAAAGGTAACAAAATTCTCCCAGCAAGACTCATTAGCCCTGACTTGGCTGCTTGCTAACCAAAGTCACAGCGATTTTGTTGAGGTCAGAGGACCTCCTGTCCTTCCAGAACATACTGGGTAGAGTGGTTGCACTGGTAGAGTGGCATTTTGAGCTTACTCCTGCACATCCTAAAATGCTGCAAGAGCTTCATTCGAATTCAGAAGGTGGCTCATCCCATTTGT